AGGGGGTTACTTTGAAGGGGACGAAATAAATTTTGATGAATAAATACAAATCCTGTGATTTATTTAGCCATTTTCGATACGTTTTGATCACAGATAGTTTTTTAAAACTCTTTCCTCCCTGTGGGCACTAACAGGACTTCTTTAAACAAGCCGATTATGGGTTCGGCCAGGCCCACAATAGGGCAGCTGGGTGGTGAGGGACGGGGCCCGACATTTCCGGACGAACAACCCCCGAAAAATTCGTGGGATTTTTCGATCCATCCGAATTCGATCGCAGGTCCCTCAGAGCGGTAGGCTACCACCTTGACCGCTTAGCCATCCGGCCGTTTACCACGGGCTGTTAAGTTTACCATAACTTTGGATTATTGCCAATACTAAAGCGGCCTTTTAACACATTTATTATTATAATATATAATAATAATAATTTTGTAAGGTAATTAATTAAGGGTAGAATATGTTATGCCTATCTTCGGATTATATTTTGTCGTGAATTACTTATTAGTGTTCAATGATCCTTAGCATTCACAGTGGCTGAATTTAAGCTGCGCTTTACTATAGTTTTGACAATGCCACGGGTCAGACATTTCTCTTCTACCGTTAATACTCATCCTTTCAATCAAGGATTGGGTGTCAGACTAAAAGTTAAAATAAAATTACAGTAGAGCGTCGTTTATCCGAATCAATTGGGGACTGGGATTGTTCGGATAACTTGTTTTTCGGATAACCGATTATGTACGAAAAAAATATATTAACTTATCCCGTATTGAAAATTTTCTCCATTGCGTGTCGCTTCGCGTTGAATTTTCGTCGATGTTAAGCCTAACGTAAACTTTTAAAAATAATAATCGTGGCTATTGTATCGTTAAAAATTATTCCTTTAGTTTTTACAAACAAAATAAATATATTGAAAATATAAAAACAAAAAAATACTTTAGGAGTTAATCTAGTATCAAAAACGTTCGATTCGGCAGGACACAGTGCTCAGAAAAACACCATATAAAAGTGCCAGTGCTGCCAGCTAAAACACATACACAAACATAAAAAATATTGGAGTAGCCCAAGACATAGCCAAAGATTGCAGCGCCACAGCACTAGCGAAAATTTAAATTTGCCGACTGGAATTATTTCGGATAACCGACGTTTCGGATAACTGACTTTCGGATAAACGATGCTCTACTGTAATTATAATCCGTTAAGTATCTAAACGCACAAGTCGTTTTTATTAGGCGCCAGTCTGACTCCTAATAAGAACTCTTTGTAAATGGGGACATACAACAACACTTCTAAGAAAAAAATCCATGGTTTTTTGAGCTTCGTAGAGACAAGACAAGGCATAAGGCAACTAATTGCTTTTGTAATTTTTGTAAATTTTTGTAATTTCTAATTTCCTTCCTCTTGATGTAGTCAAATCACATCACCAGAGAATAAGATGGCATACAATCTTATTCTCCGGTGATGTGATTTGACTACATATAAATGGGAGAATTTTTATTTCTCTCCAAATAGATTTACAAAAAATGTATCTACTAGTCGAATAACATATCGGATCGGATAAATAACTTTTAATTAATATCAATCACAATGACCCTTAATAACCTTAGAGATAAGTGATTAAAATCATTTGAAGTAAACAATAATCAGCATCGTATTTATTTATTTTTCATGAGATTATTTTATTTAATTTTAAACTGATTTAATTCAACAATGAATTCTACATTTGCTGGGTGCGTTTTGTTAATTGTTAATAAGCTCTACAATGAAATCAATTTTAACTTTTTTTAAAATTTAAAAAATTTTGTTATTGGATTTTCTATGATGAAAACATTAAATCCAATGACTAATATACCGTAACATTCTATTATTCGTCTGTACAGAAATATTGCATCCTGATTTATCCTTTTTCTAAGAGTATTAAGTATAGCTAGAAATTTCCAACAGATAGATATTAGCGAGGTTGCGGCCGAAGTTTTCAACGCGAAAATGTGTACATCGGACGTTCAGCGCAGCCTTCCTAACCTAGAACCTGTAAACCTAGAAGTTTGACAATGGCGTTTGGAACGTCAGTGGAATCATGCTCGACGTTCCAAACGCCATTTTCAAACTTCTAGGTTTACAGCAAGGCGGCGCTGTAAACCTAGAAGGTCTGACGTTCACATTTTCGCGTTGAAAACTTCGGCCGCAACCTCGCTATTAATGTACAGAACGGCTACAAAATCCTTATATATCCAGTTCAAAAGCTATCGCTAAGCTCACAAATATAAATTTTTACTAAGTTTATGTTCTTCTAAACGTCTTCCGTGTTGCCCATTAGAATCATTAAAATAGACCCTATTTTTAGACATTTATAAAAATTGTTATAATGCCGAGTTAAGAAATTTTCTCTTTTACAATGCAAGAAGAAAATTTTCATTTGTTATTAAGTGTAGACTACGAGGAAACCATACCATATCAATTCTACATCCACAGAAATTTGTCGTTGAAATACAGTGGAACCTCGGTATACGACCTTAATCCGTTCCTGGTGTTTGAACTTATACCGAATAGGACGTATACCAAACCAACCTTTTCCATAAGAAGTAATGTAAAAATGATTAATCCGTTCTCATGTAAAAAAATGGCTGGCTTTAAACACCTGGCTTTCCTCGCTAGTTTCTGCTTGATTTTTCATGAGATCAGCATGTATCCTTTTAACTTTCTCGCAAATAATTTCTTCTGATACGCTGTCGCAGGCACACTGTTTTTCAGTTATCCAAAGCAAAAGCAATTTCTCGACATGATCTAATGTCTTCGATCTCTGTTTAGAAATTGATTTAACCCCTTTCGCAACGTTAGCAAATTTAATAATGTCTTTATTTTTCACGATTGTCGATATCGTCGTTCTCGGAATACAGAATGCAACAGTTAAATCTCGTTAAATCTCGAACACGCGTGCCACCTTCATATTTCTCAACTTTTTTTTCAGTTCCGTTGTGATTCTAGTCATTTTTTTATTTTTCTGTTGCCCTTTGGCAATTCATGATTAATAAAAATAATAAAATGTTACTTACAAACTAAAATCAGAAGAAATTTAAGAAAGTTATAAACCGTAGCACCGCGAACGTCTAGTTTAGTGTAGTACACCGGTAGTGCTACTTGTTCATAGATGCCGCGTATAATTGAAGTCGTATACCAAGCAAAATTTGTTTCGTCCAAACAGGACGTATTCCGAATTGGACGTATTCTAAAGCAGACGTATACCGAGGTTCCACTGTATTCTCTAAATAGGACCACCCAAGTTACAGTGTCATGTATGGAGACGTTGTTACTATTCCTTATTATTAAATGACTCCATATTATGAAATTCAATTTAAATTACAAAAATATTTGACAATGTAGGATATAAGTAATAATGAATAAAAAAAAATCATTACAGATTACATTTTGTATTTTCAGTACGCTACTGTTAGTCGATATTTTATATTACTTCTGGCAGATTGATATAAAGATTATGTCGAGTAATTAACCTTTATTAATTGATAAGAATTGTAAGCTGTTTGATATATTCGTTTAACGTTTAACCCTACAATTAACTTGCCCATTCTGTAAACACATTACTAATAAACAAATAAGCTGACCATTCCATAGACATTAACTAGTCCGTTCTATAGAAATATTATGATACTATACTATTATTTATTAAACAAGCAATTATTTATTGCGACATCGTCACAATGCCGGGATGCAATTTTTAATCATATTTTTAATTTATTTAATTAAAAATATATGCTCTCCACCTCAAATTAGTAGCAGCTTGCCTCTGTATTTTCCTGCTAGCAATAAAGTCGTGCCGGTCATCTAACACCTTTCAAGGAAAATTTTTTTTAAATTAAATAACATGACTTTCGGTGCAAACCGAAGTTCATATCTAGTTAATCGGGGCCTCCTTCCTCCAAGCTCGTCAGGTCTTGTCTCGACTTTCATCTATCTAATTTCTTTCTCGATATTAAGAAAGGACAGACAGCCAGACGGACGACAGTGGGAATTTGTAGGTCTACTGTTTTATCAAATTGTAGCCTAACGAGATAAGAAAGCTATAATTTTATTTTAAATGTGACGATATATATAATCTCTAGAATTTTTCACATTTATATTTAGATATACAACCTATTTAACTAACCTATTATAAAAATAACCTATTAACCTATTAATAAAAATTAAGTTATCATTAAAATTTTAAAACAAAAACAAATATATCTACTTATATTGATTTTATAGTTATTAATTTTCAATATTTTTGCAGAAATTACTCAATGATTCTAGAAGATACATAAAATAATAATAAAAATATTTAGTCTTAGTTAAAATAAAATAAATAAATAAAAATTTATGCTATAAGAATTTTTTAACTCTAAATTAAAAATCCAAAANAATGCCGGGATGCAATTTTTAATCATATTTTTAATTTAAAATATTCATTTATTATTTATTTCAAAGAAAAATATTTTTCAATCTAACTTTATGTGTTTAATTAAAACTGTAAAATATACTGAGGTTCAAGGTCGCAATCAAATCGCGTTACAGGCTAAAAAATAACAAAGTGACTATTTATACATACAATATGTATACTCAATTGGCTATTTAATCCTTTTAAAGCTATGGCGTAAAGATAATAGTTTTAATGTTATTTATAATTTAGGATATTCTAAATTGCGATTATCGATATCCTAATCATGACATCGATTATCGAGAAATGAGAATTAAAAATAACATTGCAAAAAAATTTTTTTCCAGCTGCATGGGATATTTTTGCTGAATTATATGTTTAAAAGATTGGCAATTCTAAAAATGACTTCCGTAACACCCCATCACGTATACGTTTTTTGCAAAATAAAAACAAATTTTTGATAAAAACTCTTGCTTATTGCAATGAACTAAATATATTATATTTTCTTACAACTAATCAAAATATTGTTTCTGATATTTATACACAATTTTAGGTCTACTCCTTTTTATTATGACACCTTTTCTTCTTCTCTTTGATGCTTCTCCGAACTCGTTTCCGATTTCCTTCTCTGGTTTCTCGATTGAGCATCCAACAGTAGTCAGCTAACATATTGACATCCCATTTTCCTTGGTAACGTCTCTCGATATCACGGACATCCTGGTGAAATTTTTCACCCTGTTCTTCACTGTAGGCTCCCAAGTTTTCGGGAAAATAGTCAATATGGGAGTGTAAGAAATGAACTTTTAAGCTCATCTTGTATCCTCAAGCTTCATACGCTGTCAGCATGTGTTGTACAATGGTTTTGTAGTCAAGGTCCTTAGTATTCCCCAAAAACTTATGCACTACATTCTTGAAAGAGTCCCATGCTTCTTTTTCTTTTATCCCATTGTTTCCAAAAAGAGGGGATCAGATAAAGAGGATGTTGACTTTTCACTGTGTATTCACCACAAACATAACAGAAGCTGTCGGGAAAAATTACACAACCTCTGCAAGCCATATTCCAGAAATAAAAATACAAGCACAGTAGCGCTCGAATGCTGGATATAAACTGAGTGTGGCATTACATGGCCAGCGAGATACTCAACTTATTTAGCTTGTTGAAACATGATCTAATCCAACAGCAGGTTGTTTATATTTATTCCTAGTATCCCAGATAACATGTCGAAACATGCTCAACCTCACCAGTAATATTACTCACTATCAACTTTTAACCTGTTTCTACACGATCATGCAACCTTTCTCCTAAAACTACTTAACCCACCTCCCCCCACTACTACTCTCTTCAACCATAAACATATTTATTTATTTATTACCAAGTCCAGCTATAATTGATAGAATTAATGTGAAAAGTCTTCGTTTTAAGGCCACTTTAAAAAAAATACTATATTTTAAGTTAACTAGGAATTTTACGCTAAATACAAACAAAAACTTGAGTGTAACAAAAATAATTGACGAGATGGAATTTTTTTTTGTTTTTTTTTTTCGTTTTTACCAAATTGAAGTCTATAAGAAAATGTGTAAAAATCCTATGCAGTTTTTTACTTGCAGACTTGTGTAATGGCATTGAGGAAAATCTTGATAGCAAAATATCAAAATTTTATAATACATCGGTGGAAACATGTTCTTCTTCATTTTGGAATATTTTAGTGCACCATGTCGTCATATTCTTATGATAAGAAAATATAATAATTTGGAGATATTTTCAAAAACTTGCTTTCATGCAAGACACTGTATATTATTTCATTGAAAATGCACTAAGTATGGATACAGGTGATGTAAATGTAGACATCGATGATCATATTGAAGATGAAACTTCAATATGATTACTGATGATTTTGATTGTCCCAACAAAATATTATCGGATAGGGAAAAATTTAATACGGCACTGGCGATAACTAAAAATATTGCAGATATTTTGTCTAACTATGGAATGCAAACTTTCAATAAATATGTAGAGGAATTAAAAGTAATAGAAAGCAATGCAAGAAATGGAATTTCTCTTTTTGAACATGAGAGTGGGCTTAGCAGTGCCGGCCAGAGGCAAGTTTTAGGATGGAGCGAGATCCTATTATGGCCACCCCTTGGTTGCCCCTAATTTATACCCTTTAATTTTCTTTACCATTGAGGCACCCCATAGGACTTAGCACCTGGAGCGGCTGCTCCGTTCGCCCTATGGTAGGACCGGCTCTGGGGCTTAGTACAATTGAACCAGAAGAACCTGAAGAACAAATTCGGTCATATAACGAGCCCCGTTCAAATCAATCAAATATAAACTTAAAATTCAAAACTAAAATTAAATCCAAAGGACGTCCGAAGAGAAAGACTAAGCAGACCACACTTTACNTAAATTTTTTGGGAATAATCCGTATAAACTATGCTATAAACAAAAAATTGTAAGATTACTTACCGAGTGTGCACCGTTCAACGTTGCCATTGCTTAAGCTTGTTTTCGTCGCGGAGCAGCGCACCAAACGGCAGCCGCAATTTCTTATAAGTTATTTTTCTGCTAAAACTTTGTTGAACTTTGGAGACATCATTAATATAAATAATTTTTATGGCCTTGAATAAGAAATGTTTTTTTCACAAGAAATGTATAAAATTACAGTACTGTATTAGACTTACAGTACCTAATTTACATACTGTACAGATGATAGTAAATGCAACTTACTCTCCTAAACTCTCCATAGCGTGGCGCTGGACGGCGTAAAGTATATATATATAATTATAATAAAGTTACAATAAATTAGTATATAATTATATGTACAGTACCTAATTTATATATAATACTGTACAGATGATAGTAAACTCAATTTACCCGCCTAAACTCTCAGTAGCATGGCTCTGGACGGTGGAAAGTAATTCGGCTGCCCAATGATGTTTTACCGAATTATAGGAGTTTTTTTTAACATGTTTGTACAGATACTGTTGCAATTTTTTCGCCGTCATATAGGAATCCGAACTATAGGAACCCGTGTTATGGGGGGTTGACTGTAACTACATACAGATTGAGAAGATGGAACTTTAAGTTTGTTTTTTTTTTTTTTTTCAGGTTTCAATGTGTTGAATAATGTGTGCCTTCCCACAGTGGACAATGCTGAATGTAATGTACAATGGCACAATTTACATCATGAGACTATGATTGTTGTCAATTATTGCAATAAAATCCCATTGTTTAAAATAGCTTCTACTATATGAACACTTTCTTTTTGGCATGATGAAGTAAAAGGAAACTTCAGAGCACGAGTCCAGAATTTTTTCCACTCCATTCTGATTCTGTTGCAAAAGCAACAAACAAGTGATATTAGCTATTAGCAGTAACTACAAGCTAACCAATGCCATATGTCATTGGGCTAGATAATGGTTTAATTTAAATAATTAATTAAACTAAATAATTTATTTCGTGTTCTTAACGGCTTTAACATAATTTCAAATTATCTTATGCGTTCTATTCTGCATTCGATTATTTTTGTTTAAAACTTTTGGTAAATTTCTGTAATCGCCTGAGGACGACGACAATAAGTTTGTTGAAAGTGCTAGCGATAAAAAAACACATGTAACGCTGAACTCAGTGTATTTGTTTTTGTTGTTATTAAATGGTTATAATACTAGTAAATGAAACAGTTTGGTACTAGAGAGAGGCATTAAGTGCCAATTATAATTATTATTAAATAATTTAAATAGTTCTAAATTATTTAATTAAAAATTATAATTATTATNTACTTCATAGTTTATTGATTACTTTATTGAACAACATTGTAACTGAACTTTAATAAATAAAACTATAATTATTTATAATCGTGTAGTTATTATCGAAATATTAATTGTAATAACAGCGCATACAGTCAGGATATAGGAACATACAGTCAGTATGTATAAATAGCCAACTGAGTATACATACTGTATGTATAAATAGCCACGTCCAAAAATAAACGCTTTTTAAACGCTAAAATAAACAATTTTATACTTATTGTAATATTTTTGCAAAATTAAGTTGCCTAAATTAATTGTTAATTAAAAATTTTATTTATTACAGTATTTTTTAAATCGAATCAAAATTAATACTTGGCATCAAAAGGGTATAGACTATTAATTTGAAAACTAGCCAACAGATGGCAGCACACATGTTCGTATTATTTCTTAATTATTTCTACAGTTGTACAGTATTGAATTGACGACTCAATTTTTTTACTCAACGTTTTGAAAAAATCCAAGATTTAAAAATTAATTGCACAAAAAATTTAAAATTTACGTTTTATTCTATGTAAGGTTACGTAAAAATTACAATTTAACCGAAAGAGTATATTATCAGCTCAGAGAAGTAGCAATAAACTTACTACTGGAAAATCTATTGTGCCATTTTATCGTCATAACTACATAAATAAGGAAGAAATATTAATTTCATCAAATATATAACAAATTTCTCAGAATTTTTTAAAATTTAATATATAAGAAAATATATAGGATTATTATTAAATAAATATTCGAATAAATTATATATCAGGCTCTAAAACTCTTGTTTCTACATATAGTGATTATTTTTATGTGAAAAAGTAAAAAATTAATAAATAATATATTAATTAATAATATAATGTGAAATGCATATCACAATTTAGTCGACAATAGTAGTGAATGAACAGCTTTCAAAAATAATTAGCAGTAAAATTACTATTTGAATAACTTAAGTATTTGAACCTTAAATACCAGTAAGTCAAAGAAAAATGAAATTTTTATTAAAAAATTTTTCTAAAATTTGGAGATTGATCTGAAGATTAAGTTTCTCGTAATTTCATTTTATTAATTGATAGGAATTGTATGTTGCTTCTTATATTTCTATACTCATTCTACAGACATATAACTGGACTTTTCTTTAGGCATATTGATTGGCTATTCTGTAAATATATTAAGTAAGATATTCCACAGGTACAGTACATCAACTATCTTATTTTTCAAGCACATGGTACTACCTGATATTATTTTTATACAGTAAAACTGCTTATTGCATTACTCATACAAGAATAATACAATAAAGACTGCCAACAATACACACTTTTCGCTCCGATCAAGGTCCTATTTTAAAATTAATTCTTCGGGAAGTTAACATAAAAAAAAAAGGTGATCTTATACATAAAGTGTGTGTATATATAATTATATTAAAGGTGAGCAATCTCACTTAGATATAGTTGATACTGTATATGTTTGAAAGTGAATTTATTTATGTATAGGCCTATATAGAAAATATTTTATAGTTTATTCTTATTTTATTCATATTTATACCGAGCTGTGTATTGTGGAACTAGCGCTAAGCTATCAACTTTGTATGGGTTACAAAGATTACAATGTAACCAATCAGAATTTAATTATGTTCAAATTATAATATTAATTGTTTTGACTAACTGAAACAGAAAAAAAAGGACACGTGAAGTTTCATACATATGTAAATAATTATAACGAGTGGTGTGATTGGATGAAATAAAAACTTTTAATTAATGAACAATTTTTGTGTTTTTATTAAAATTACATCAATTTTTTAAATTTATATTACAAAATTTTGCAGAATTTTAAAGTAATTACCATTAATTTAAGTGTTTTTTAAACTTAAACGAGTATAAAACTTTGTGCAAAAAAGTTTTAATTACGGTTAATAAACTATTATTACGAATATTTACATTATTCTTATTATTTTTATTATATCAAACTGTTAGATGACTAATTGATGATAGTATAAAAGTCGAAATTTCCTTCTTACCACCTCACGTCATCAAAGTAATCATCAATCCACGTGGTCAAGGTCAACCTCGGCCGCTTAAAAATCCCGTAACAAAACAGTTATATACGCGTTAAACGAGTATTTTCCTAAATTTCGAATTTATTTGTATAATAATTTATATTAAACAATATTATCTAAAAAGAATCGTACACGTGTAAATTGGATTTTTACCAACTACGTCATCAAGTCCGGAAATTCAGAAGGATTGGATGTATTTCATCTATACGGAATGTATTTCGTCGAGTAAGTAAATAGTTCGAATATGTTAATAACATACGTATAATTACAAATTACGGTAGAAGTTATCTTTATCGGTATTTATATTTATAAAGTTATAGTTTAGTATTTCGTTCCATTTTCCCGGTGTTAAATGTAAATTAGTGATTAAGCGCATTAATCTCAACAGTAGATTTGAAGAGGTGGACGTGGATCGGTCGCCATCTTGTCACATGTTTTCTTCACATGACTTGGTTGTTAGTCCATTGATCAATCTTGGTTGACTTGCTGGCAAATTCAAAACTATTGACTCAAACACACACATGGATATGTTAGATCAAGCCCTAGATACCAGGTAAGAATAAAAACAATGGTATAGGCATTTCTTCACTAGCATATCATTCTGCTATGTTGTCACCACGCCTTTGATCCTGATTTAAATCTAATATTTTTATCAATGTTAAGCTTTCTCATTGAAAGTTTATTAAGTTAACCACATAATGATGAGTAAACTATATAATGCCTTTTTACCAGAATTTAGGCGTTATTTTCCCCGATATATCCTGTAGTTTTGCATTTATACTTCCTTGAATAAGCAAATGGTACACGAAGCATACGCTGTAGAAAAAATATTCCAATTGAATTGTTTTGATATGATAAAGAAACATTTAATCTAAAGAAGTGCATTGCATTTATGTGGAAATTTTCCTTTCTTGAGGGATTTATTGCTTCATTTTGCTATAATATTTCATGATAGTTTTCATCTTTATAAATCTGTTTAAAATTCTTCATATTATAATGAAAAGGAAAATAGAAAAATTCTATTTTAATTAAGTTCAACAAAAAATGATCTTATATGTAATTTTTTAAAATTTACTTTTTAGAGTCTCTTTTAGGAATTTAATCTTTCTGTTTTAAATGTGGATTATATAGTTTATTGGCAGTTTTATACGGATGCCATTATGAGTAAATAGGTGCAATGACTAATATTTATGGTGATTGCATTTGGATTTACAATGTTTAAAATATGTTTCATGTTGTTCAAAATAAATTTAACTCTTTCTGTCTATATAATCAATTTATCTTTTTTTTTAAATCTGTGTTTTTTTTTTTTTCGGAAATCCGGCAGTCCTATTTGCAGCTTTCTCTAATGTTTTGAGCAATATTAGAGAGGTTTGTTTTCAACATGAAAATGTGTATGTTGGATGTTCAGCAACGCCTTCCTGTAAGCCTAGAAGTTTGACAATGGCATTTGGAATGTCAGTGGAATCATGCTAGACGTTCCAAATGCCATTGTCAAACTTCTAGGCTTACAGGAAGGCCGTGCTGAACGTCCAACGTACACGTTTATGTGTTGAAAACATTGGCCGCGACCTCTCTATTGATTTTTGAAACAGCATGACTATATTGGAAAAAATTTAAGGCAATCTGATCAGACAAAACTAAGTATAATCTGACAGAAAACATTTTTTCAAGTAGAACAAAACAATAGCATTGTAATTTGACCAACTTTCAACCAAGAAGGGGAGCATTTTTAATTGAGTAATAAAACATTTTAGAAGTGGGTATGCCTCACTCCTCTCCTAACACCATCCCAAAAAAGTAGTAATGTTTCACTATCCTGAACTTGAAAGAAAACCTATCAATCTCCAATTACATAAACTTCAGTGTTAATCAGTTAAACTTCAGATAATTTTTAGCAAGTTGAAATTTGGTGTGTTTACTTTTATGAATTTTTAGGTCAAATTACATTAAAACAAACATTAAAAAAATAATTTTCTTCAATTCACAAGTATTTTATATTGTTAGAAAAAATCAAAATGCAGAAATTAAAAATGTAATTGTAGTTTTTGATGTGCTAATGATGATTTCACAATAAAAAATGATAGCTAAATGCTGGATACTGGATATATTGTTTGTATTCAATCACCCTACTCAATAGCCTAATCTTTTGCTGGAGTTTAGGCTGTTGAGTAGGGTGAATTAATTTCATAATTTTAGAAAAAGAGTAAATGGCATCTAGTACAAGTCATGCAACTCATAATGTGCATTTAAACCATGTAAGTAAAGAAGGGTTTAAATGTTGATTAGCCATGAGAAAATGCAGCTATTAACTTTAAGGATATAGACTCTTTTCCCTGATTCAAAGTTGATCTACAAAGTTCAGTCTTGTAACTCTTTCACTTTCCTCTTTCTCTTCTGTAACATGAATGGCAATCACCTATTCTGAGTAACTTTTCTGTTTGAACTATTTGTTTTAACAGCTTCATTTGAACTGTGAAGGTCAGTTAGCCTGAACATGACTGTTCAACACAGATGAAAATTACTATATATGTATATAATGTATACATATACATATACACAGATGAAAATGTTTATTTTCATGTAGTTTTGTATTTTCTTGCTGGATATTGGATCTATGCAGTGTTTGCTTCAATAATGATTTTGTCTTTTCCATCAATTTCCATTATTTTTACACTCCAATATATGAACAAAGCTGTGTACAGAATACAAATAGACTTTATTTAAGACAGAATAAGAAACTAATTATTACTATAACTGTAATACACGTTGATGAAATACCTACAGAAGAATGCGTGATATTATGCAAGAGATGAGCAGGACAGCCAGTCCCCTACATGACATCATTTAAAATCCCTTTCAATTTAAAGTAAACATTGCTTGGTTTCATGGCACTCTCAATTGCCAAAATTTGTATTGCAATTATATGTGCAGTGTGTGGTGCATTTTTTAGCATTCAAACCACAAGACTGAAATGTTTTCATTTAAAGTTCAACAATAGAATATGGTGTTTAATATTTGAGTGAACTAACAGCTATTTTATTTACATTCTATTCTGGTGTGAAATATTGTATGATAACATGAAATATCATTTTGTTGCTGTGATTGGAAGCATCAGTAGAAACAGAATAAAGCTTTTTATTTTGTTGTTTATATTATTAATACCATCTTTCATGAAATTGGAAGTAATCTAAAGGCTGTAGATTTAGTTCTAGCACCAGAAAACTTTGCAGCAATTGTTGAATTGGGAAATATTGTATGGAAAAGGTTGTTAGTCAGTAGTATTAAACGATTGGGGGTGCTTAATGGTAATATATGCAATTGTTAACTCGGCTACAAATACTTTATCTTCTACTGTTTCTTTAAGAAATACAGTCAACCCCCTATAAGACAGTAGATACATTTCGTTTTTTATGAAATTGATGTTTTAGGAGACCTTGCCAATCAAGCCCGACACATGTGAAGTTTACAGACTATGGCTGTTTGAAAGGTTTTCTTCCATAAAATTAATCGATTCCTAGACTAATTCGACTCATTTCCAAAATACGTATATTTTTTTGGGAATAATCCGTATAAACTATGCTATAAACAAAAAATTGTAAGATTACTTACCGAGTGTGCACCGTTCAACGTTGCCATTGCTTAAGCTTGTTTTCATCGCGGAGCAGCGCACCAAACGGCAGCCGCAATTTCTTATAAGTTATTTTTCTGCTAAAACTTTGTTGAACTTTGGAGACATCATTAATATAAATAATTTTTATGGCCTTGAATAAGAAATGTTTTTTTCACAAGAAATGTATAAAATTACAGTACTGTATTAGACTTACAGTACCTAATTTACATACTGTACAGATGATAGTAAATGCAACTTACTCTCCTAAACTCTCCATAGCGTGGCGCTGGACGGCGTAAAGTATATATATATAATTATAATAAAGTTACAATAAATTAATATATAATTATATGTACAGTACCTAATTTATATATAATACTGTACAGATGATAGTAAACTCAATTTACCCGCCTAAACTCTCAGTAGCATGGCTCTGGACGGTGGAAAGTAATTCGGCTGCCCAATGATGTTTTACCGAATTATAGGAGTTTTTTTTAACATGTTTGTACAGATACTGTTGCAATTTTTTCGCCGTCATATAGGAATCCGAACTATAGGAACCCGTGTTATGGGGGGTTGACTGTAACTACATACAGATTGAGAAGATGGAACTTTAAGTTTGTTTTTTTTTTTTTTTCAGGTTTCAATGTGTTGAATAATGTGTGCCTTCCCACAGTGGACAATGCTGAATGTAATGTACAATGGCACAATTTACATCATGAGACTATGATTGTTGTCAATTATTGCAATAAAATCCCATTGTTTAAAATAGCTTCTACTATATGAACACTTTCTTTTTGGCATGATGAAGTAAAAGGAAACTTCAGAGCACGAGTCCAGAATTTTTTCCACTCCATTCTGATTCTGTTGCAAAAGCAACAAACAAGTGATATTAGCTATTAGCAGTAACTACAAGCTAACCAATGCCATATGTCATTGGGCTAGATAATGGTTTAATTTAAATAATTAATTAAACTAAATAATTTATTTCGTGTTCTTAACGGCTTTAACATAATTTCAAATTATCTTATGCGTTCTATTCTGCATTCGATTATTTTTGTTTAAAACTTTTGGTAAATTTCTGTAATCGCCTGAGGACGACGACAATAAGTTTGTTGAAAGTGCTAGCGATAAAAAAACACATGTAACGCTGAACTCAGTGTATTTGTTTTTGTTGTTATTAAATGGTTATAATACTAGTAAATGAAACAGTTTGGTACTAGAGAGAGGCATTAAGTGCCAATTATAATTATTATTAAATAATTTAAATAGTTCTAAATTATTTAATTAAAAATTATAATTATTATTAAATTTATTAAGAGATGGCACCTAATACCTCCCTCTAGTACCAAATTGTTTCATAATTTATTAGTAGTATTATAGCTATTATCTAGCCCACGGGTTCCCAACCTATGGGTCGCGACCCAGAAGGGGGTCGCGACGGTCTTTCTGTGGGGTCGCCAACTTATACAGTTAACTAAAAAAAATGTTCACTATAATGCAATTTTTATTTTTAATGGTGTCTTGAAGTTTGAATAATTTGGTATACAGTCGATCCCCCTATAACACGGGTTCCTATAGTTCGGATTCCTATATGACGGCGAAAAAATTG